AACCAAAGCAATCAATCTGCTCCGAGCAGACAATACAAAAGAAACGAAGAAAAAGACAGCGTAAACGAAGAAAAACGGTGGTTTAAAAACGTAAACAAAGAAGATGATGATGTCAGACGAACGTCACAGAATAATCTAGATAATGGGCTCACGCCTCAGGGTAGACTCGAGATTACTCCTATAAATGGAGCCGCTGGAACAATGGAGAGCAACGCATTACACAAAGAGGAGGCCAAGGGAGGAAACTACAGAGATACTGTACCCAGTGTCCCAGGATTGAACTCACTTGACTCGTCTGTGGCTGCCAAAAACAAATCAGATAATTCTCTCCCCTTGTTAACCCAACCTGCAAACACAATGACAGGAAAGCCCGTCAGAGATGTATCCGTGAGTGAGGAAAATAACCGAGAGGTCGCCTTCAGGGGTGACTGCAACAACGAGAAGACGGCAGGAATACGGGCGGTGGTCAGTCCTTCTGAGTGGGATTTGGACTATCAGACACTCGATAAAACCTTGACCAATCTGCCTCCGGTCGTAATGATGTCACCGAGAAAGAAGGTACAGGAGGACACCCGCTCTAGTCAGGCGTCGAGTGTGACACAGCAGCAGCTGCCGAGAAGACCGGTAAATGTGCCTGGCAACGTTAGCAAGGCGGGAAACAGCACCGGAAATACGGCTATTGTCGGAGCTCCCGGTCTTGTCGGAAAGTCTGACATCACGTCAACCCGAGATTTGAAAGCGGCACCTGCACATGTCGCAACGGTTAACCAGATTGGAGGGAAAATGTTGCCTGCGCAGAAGCAGCGACAGCAGCCGAAGGTAGTACACCACCAGCATCATCATCAACAACAACAACAACAACAACAACAACATCAACAACAGCATAAGCAACAGCGTCAAAAACAACCGACTCAGCAGAACGTAGAGATTCCACCTCATCAAAGAAATCAAAAGCCCGAACAAAAGGAACAACAGCAGCAGCTGCAGCAACGCCATCATCATCATCAGCAGCAGCAGCAACAACAACAACAGCAACAACAAACATCACAGACAGGAGCAGCCCAGAGCTCAGTCCCACCCTCTCAACCGCCAAGTGCAGCAGCATCGAATTCTCCCCAAACCACAAAACCAGAAAGCCACGTCGGCACGAAAGGGGGGAAACTGAAGGGCAAAACCACCATAATTGTTTCCCCTGAGACCCATAACCAACCTCCAGCGATCAGGAACAATAAGAAAGATGGTGGCGGACCGGGCCGCGCGGAATCGCCGTCTGCTGAGAACAAAGGGAAACTTGGCAGGGAAGTGGAGCACATCGGACTCTCAGGCCAAGGGAAGCAACTCTCCATGACGAAAGGTCCTCGAGGGAACGAGTCACGGTTACGGGGCTCAACTCAAAGAGATGCAAACCCATATACAAGCTACCAATCTGGAGAACTTGCTGCAACGCTGACAAAAAATGAACCTCAAACAACGGTCCGCGCCGCGCCACCGCTGAGAAAATCGATTGAAAAACAGGGAAATGAAGTCTTAAATAATTTGTCTCTGAGCCCCGGGGCGAAGGCCGATAATAATAACGCGGTGACTTTGAATATGAAGGGAGAGAATAAATCTGGTGTTACGACAAACGTTAAGGTCGAAACGACTGTGACGCCCCAGGATGTGATCGATGATCCGCATAAAGACAAACAGACATGGAAGCATGGCTCTACCGACAACAACTCCCCAAGTGCCTTATCCCAACCTTCTCAACCCCCCAAAACCTCAAAACCTTCACAGATAAACAAATCGAATCCGACTTTACAAATAACAAACGAAGCTGGCGTCACAAATACGGTAGTGAGCTCCCCTAAAACTGTGACGTCAGGGGTTGATGTTGTACCCAGCCACGGGGTCACGCTTGCAGGCTCTTTGTTTCCGAACGATGTAGCTGGCGGCCATTTTACCACGTCTTGGAGAGATGACAAAAAAAGCTGGAAGTCTTTGCCTTCACAGCAGGATTTCGTTGTTATGAACAATGCAGCGGCAATGGTGGCAGCAGCAGCTGCGAGCGTGGATCAGAAACAGCTCCAGGGGCCGTTAAGAGTCTCGGCCAGCGACCTTGACCATCTTGGTCGTAAGGGGGGTCAAGGGGTCAACCCGGAGTCCCCAAGGCCTAACAGTGAGAGTAGTGGTAATGGTTTTGGTGGTGGTGGAGTGGGTTTGAACCAACATCCTCTTAGTGATGCTAACTTCTTCACGGATCCTTTTGTTGGTGGTGGTGTAGGGAAGATGATGAAACAGAAGGGGACGCCACTTTTGTCGAATCTCAATGGCGGCAGCCATCACTATTTCGGCACTCACTACGACAGTGATGACTCATGGTCATTACCCCCCACTGGAGAAGATGACCACATTCAGTTTATTGAGGTTGAGCAGGATTTTTACAAAGTGTTCGGCTACAACGAGGAAACAACAGCCATTCTGCTGGCTACGAAAGTGTACCCCATCTCGGATTATCATGTGTCAGACTCGTCATTGGACGCTCAAGAAAGCTCGAAACTTGTCCCAAAACCGCCTGATCACGCGAACCCCTCCCGGGGGAAAAACGATTTGAGAATACCGGGTGGAAAAACCCAGATGCATTCTGAAACCAAAGACAGACAGGGAGGGAGAGCCAGTGATAATAATAGCAACAGTAACAGAAATAATGATAACAACAATAGTAACAATAACGACAGTAATAAAAACGACAACATTAACCATGATCATAAATATAATCATAACCAAGGTTATTTGGTGAAATTTGAGAAGAAACGACGAAATGTCTATGGTGTCAGCAACAACAGCAACAACAAAGTGGCGGCCGCGCCTAAGACAGATGCGGCCAGTACGGGAGAAGCAGACAACAGACGGCTGGCGTCTCTGGAGCCGGTGGTGATGACGGGGAAGAAGATCGTATCTATACCCAGGACCAACAACGCGCACGTCACTGACCCTACCGGAAACAGAGGGAGGGCTGGAGGGGGAGGAGGAGGAGGAGGAGGAGGAGGAGGTGATGGTCCAGAGAAACTGGTCAACGACTCGCCTCCTATCGCCTTACCTGTCAACAAAGGAGGAGTAGGTGGTGGTGGTGGCGGCGGTGGGTCAGAGTTAGGTCACATTGTAAGAGGTCAAGGCCAGGAGTCTGTCCGGGATCAGGGTCAGGGTCAGGGTCAGGGTCAGGGTCAGGGTCATGCTATTGACACGAGAGGCGGCTTGATTCTGACGGAGCGGGCTGCAGTTGTCCGGACGAGGAGCAAGACGGACGAGAAGAGCGGAACGGTGAGCGAGCGACAAGGCTACGAGCCCGACAGTCGGCCCAGCCTGCCCAGGCGGAGGATTCTCAGCGAGAACGACATACATGAGCGGAACCGGACCACGCCTCCGTCTCTGTTCCGGCCCATGGAGGGCGGTGGCGGGGGTGGCGGGGGCGGTGGGCATGTACCACACGGGTTGTCTAGAACGCAGCCACTTCCTCTGTACCATGGTGGAGGTGGTGGTGGTAGGACCAACCTCGGAGTGCTGAGCGAAGCTAATAACACATCCCGTCTCCATGGCAACAGCATCATCAGCAACAACAGCAACATCAACAGCAGTAACAGCAACAATAGCAACAACTTCAAAGGGAGGCATATTGTTGCTAAGCAACAGCAGCAACAACAACAACAACAACAACTGAAGCACGCCGCGGAGAGCCATTACCACGCCCACTCAACGTTTCCGGCAGTGGCGATAACTGAACCGCTTCACCCAGTGTACAGAGAGGCGGGGGCCAACCCCAGCCCCAACAACATCCACAACCACAACCACAGTGTCGTGATCCATCGTGACCCCCTGACCCCCAGAGGTCACCAGGTACCCGAGAGACCTAACCCACCACCCACCTCCCCTCCTCGTGCCATCGACTACCGTAACCTTGACCCCTCGGAGAACATCCCGGAAACAGGTCGATTTGTGAGGGTCAAACAAACTTCGGTCACTCCTCCACAGAAGAGCGTCATCAATCCCAAAGGCCACTTCAAGGGCGCTCGGGTCTCCGACAGACTCCGGAGAGCGACGGACTTCGAGGAAACTGTGCCCAGATTGGCTACCATTCCCCAGAGGAGACATAACCAAATCCACGTTCAAAAACCGCGAAAACTGGAGCCAATTAATTTACCAGACGCCAATGTGCGGAGAGAAAACCAGCCATTTGTCTATGAGTAATTGATTTTTTTTTCTTTTGGACAGTTGAGACATCGTATGATTAACCTTTTGAATTATGAATGAATACTTGTTTGACTGACCGAGATATGGAAAGAACAGGGCGGTGGGGGTATTAGGATGAGAGAGAGAATATTGAGAGAGAGAGAGAGAGAGAGACAGACAGACAGACGGACAGAAAGCGAGAGAATATTGAGAGAGAGAGAGACAAGGAGAGAGAGACAAAGAGAGAAAGCGAGAGAAAATGAGAGAGAGAGAGAGAGACTGAGAGAGACAGAGAGAAAACGATAGAAAATTAGAGAGAGAGAGAGCGAGAGAGAGAGAGAGAAAGAGAGAGAGAGCGAGCGAGCTTGGGAGGGTGTGAGTTTGATTTGTACTTCCTACGAAACATTTTTTTAAAATAGTGAAACCAACTTTTGGGCCCGTCTGCAGCTGAAAATGTCGATGGACATTTCCGTTTACTATCGAAGAGCATGGCATTAATCAGAACTCATCTTTTGATTATGTTGTCCAGTTATACAATATGTTGCAATAATTGTGAGATTTTGAGGTTACAGAGTAGCACAAAAAGGCCTTTCAAGATGAAATCCATAGTGCGGATACATTTCGAAACGCTGTCTCAGGGGTAGTCGTTATTATTTTACTGAATTTGTAAGAGTTTGTTGGAATTTTGTTTTCAGAGATAACGTGTATGTTTTCGAATACATTGGTTTGTCATTGTGGAGCATAATATGTCCTAACAAGGTGAGAAGTCTTCATTTTCTGTTAACTGCCTATTAAATCTTTGTGTTTTTTAAACAGCGTGATAGCAAAAGACGTTCAAGGAAAATACGAGTTTGACTACAATCCATGCAAAACCTTTGTCAAAGAGAACTGCTCCGATGTGTTGGTAAGTAAAATTGTACAATAATTTAGGTCTTTTGGGGGGGCAGGGGGCGGGGAGGGTACTCTTGCTGTGCTGGTGGAAAGCGTGATATAAAAAGTATGAGCTTCAGCTACAGCCCTTTTAAGTCCTTCGTTCTTGGCAATGGTTCTTAGTTTATCGTTTCCTTTTATTTCGAATCCTTTTTCAACTCACTCGTAACTCGTACAAAACCTGTTTTCTACACACTAGAAGTAATCAAATGGTGAGCTCCAAATATCGATTATCACATTCTTGTTTCTTTCTAAGGTTTGCCTGTCAAATAGTCTAGCAAACGAGTATCTTGGAATCGGAGGCAAAGATGGAGCTCTGTTCATCAAGAAAGGAAACGATTATGCTGTGAGATACGTGGAAAATAACAGGTAAGACTTATGCACGATAACTGAGTTTTTAGAAGAAGCTATTTTGTCGGGGCAGAAAAGATGGAATTATTTGTTGCAATATTAATGAACGGTAAAAACACCTAACTTACAATCAAATAATATGACTAATATTTCTTAAAAATAGACCACATATAGTAGGCCTCTGCATCAGCTTGAACATTTCTTCTCTACTGATTTAGTTTTGCTTGCACTGAACGTGATAATCCTTCAATGGTCCTACTCTTGAATCTGCTGTTTCATATTTTTTTAAACCTAGAGAGCGATATGATTCCTCAAAGATAGATAGATAGATAGATAGATAGATAGATAGATAGATAGATAGATAGATAGATAGATAGATAGATAGATAGATAGATAGATAGATAGATA